ACTTACAGCCACCATAGAGCCCAAAATTTACGTTGTTAAGTGAGACACTTGTGAAATGAGCTTTGTCCTGTTTTACGACCTTTCTTGCCTCTGTTGTTAAGTGAATCACTGCAGTTGATAAGCTGATAAGCCCGGTCTTTAAGTGAATCTGGCTTCCCCCTTGACTTTGGTTGTCAGCAGGTCGCAAAAAGGGGACCACATGATCCCAGGACGCTGCAACCGTCATAAATGTGAGTTGCCGAACGTCTCAATTTTGATGCCGTGACCCTGGGACATAGCAACCGTCATAAATATGAGTCAGTTGCCAAGCCTGAATTTTGACCACATGACCACGGGGCGGCCATAACATAAGTCCCTTTTTTCAGTGCTGTTGTAACTATGGACATTAAGTAAACTGTTGTAAGTTGAGGACTAACCTGTACAGACCCACAAAGGTCGCAAATGCGAGGAATGGTCACAAAGGGAGACTTTTCCACCACTGTTGTAATTGTCGATGGTCGTTAAACAAGGCGGTCGCTAAACGAGAGTTATCTCTATATACTATGGCAGGGGTAGGCAGCCTTGGCTCTTTTAGGACTGGTGGACTTCAACTCCCAGAATTCCTGAGCCAGCCTGGCTCAGCTTGGAAACCTCTTCCTCTCCCCTCAGCGTGGCTGGCTCAGGAATTCTGGGAGTTGAAGTCCACGAGTCATGAGGGGGCCATAGTTCCCCCATGTTGGCTCAGGAATTCTGGGAGTTGAAGTCCACCAGTCATGAGGGGGCCATAGTTCCCCCATGCTGGCTCAGGAATTCTGGGAGTTGAAGTCCACCAGTCATGAGGGGGCCACAGTTCCCTCATGCTGGCTCAGGAATTCTGGGAGTTGAAGTCCACCAGTCATGAGGGGGCCACAGTTCCCTCATGCTGGCTCAGGAATTCTGGGAGTTGAAGTCCATCAGGCATAAAAGAGCCAAGGTCGCCTACCCCTGGACTAGGGGTCTTCAAACTTGGCCCTTTGATGACTTGTGGGCTTCAGCTCCCAGAATTCCTCAGCCAGCATGGACCATATAAACCAGGGTCCTTCCAAACTTGGCCCTTTGATGACTTGTGGACTTCAACTCCCAGAATTCCTCAACCAGGTGCCTGGCTGAGGAATTCTGGGAGTTAGTCCACAAGTCATCAAAGGACCAAGTTTGAAGACCCCTGGTATATACAGACACTATCCCATATAGAAAAATAAAATCATAAAATCAAATACAAACCGGTCCTTGACTAACAACCAGCCATTTAGTGACATTTGAAGTAACAACAATGATGAAAAAGACCTTTTGTAACCATTCCTCGCACTTACGACCTTTGCCCAGCTACTTCCAGCCGGGTTTTGAACTTCTGACAGCTGCCTCTGTTTGCAACATCCTGCAGTCACATGACCGCGATTTTTTTTTTTTTGCTGGAAACCATGTTTTTGGCAAAAAAAGAGCACCCATTAAGGAGAGTGGTTTCAGTTAACAACCGCCCTTTTTGCTTAATGGCGGCCACATTGGCTTAACAGCTACCCTCTTTATTAGCCACTGCCGCAAGAAACGTTGTAAAAAAAAAATCAGGTCTGGTCTTGTGATTGAGCCACTTTGACGACCCCCCTGTGGCTTATGGCCGTAATTCTGAGCTGTGTAATCGTCATAAGTTGAGGACTGCCTGTATTTTGAAGAGCCGCACCCATGCCTTATCTCTTAGGTAAACATTGATGGCGATAACAACATGTGACCAAATTTGTTTTGTGTTTGTCTGGGTTTTAGATTTTTCCAAATTGGTTTGCAGCCGGGTTCGTTTCCCTCCCTGCAAATGGCCAAAGATTTATATTTTTTGCTGGAAAAATAACAAAAAAAGAGGTTTTGGTCCTGCAATCGAATTCTAGCAATTCTCAGCCAGACATAAACTGAAATATAAGATATAGAAACAGGGGTCTTCAAACTTGGCCCTTTTATGATTTGTGGACTTCAACTCCCAGAATTCCTCAGCCAGCCTCCATTTTGTTAGATTTAAGACAGGGGTCTTCAAACTTGGCCCTTTTATGACTTGTGGACTTGGCTGAGGAATTTTGGGAGTTGAAGTCCACAAGTCATACAAGGGCCAAGTTTGAAGATCCCTGATATAAAATATATCTCAGAATAACAGAGTTGGAAGGGACCTTGGAGGTCATATAGTCCAACCCCCAGCTCAGACAGGAAACCCTCTACCATTTCAGACAAATGGCTGTCCAGTCTCTTCTTAAAAACTTCCAGCGTTGGCACATCCTCAACTTCTTGTGGCCAGTTGTTCCACTGGTTCATTGTTGTCGCTGTCTGGAAATTTCTCCTTAGTTCTAGGCTGCTTCTCAAAATAGAATATTGATTTATTTATGTATTCACGGGCAGTCCCGGAGCCCAAAACATTTCTTTTGCTAAGCGAGACGGTGGCTAACTGCCTTTTGCCCCATTTTACGACCTGTCTTGCAGTTGTTAAGCAAAGTCCTGCGGTTGTTAAGTGAATTGTGTTGTCGTTCAGCGAATCTGGCTTCCCTCATTCATTTTCTTTGTCGAGAGGTCGCAAAAGGGAACCCTGCAACCGTCGTAAATAGGAGTCAGCTGCCAAGCGTCGGGGGACCGTTGGGGATGGTGCAACGGACGTGAGTGTGAAAAAAACAATTGCAAGTCAGGGTTTTTTTCAGTGCCCTTCTCACTTTCAACGGTCACTAAATGAACGGCTGTAAGTTGAGGATCACCCCGGGGGTGCCTGGCGGGTGGGCGAGGGGCTGATTGGGAAAGACCCATTTTTTCCATCCTCGCTTCTGCTCTGGGTCCAGCTTCTGTTTTTTTTGTTCTTTTTTCTTTCTCTCTCTCGGCAGGTGGACAGACTTTCAAAGCTAATTCTGGATTTCCTGTGGTTTTTCATTTTGATCGAGTCGGTCTTTGCAAACTGCCGACTTCCTGTTCATTTCTCTCACTTTTTAAAAAATGGCATCGGATGAGAAGGTCGAGGGAGATTCTCCATCCTCTAGGTGATGGTTGGAGGGGATCTTGGAGGTCCTCTAGTCCAACCCCCTGTTCAGGCAGGAAAGTTCCATCTCCTGTTTTTTTAAGACAAAGCTATCTTCTTGTATTATAAATATTTAGGATAGAATAGAGCTGGAAGGGACCTTGGAGGTCTTCTAGTCCAACCCCCTGCTCGGGCAGGAAACCCTATATCATTTCAGACAAATGGCTGTCCAGTCTCTTAAGAGCTTCCAGCGTTGGAGCATTCCCCGCTTCTGGAGGCGAGGAGTTCCACTGGTTAATTGTCCTCACTGTCAGGAACTTTTCTCTTTAGTTCCAGGTTGCTTCTCTCCTGGATTAGTTTCCATCCGTTGTTTCTTGTCCTGCCTTCAGGCCCTTTGGAGAATAGCTTGACTCCCTCTTCTTTGGGGCAGCCCCTGAGATACTGGAAGACTGCTTTCCTGTCACTGCTATCACGTCTTTGAAGATCTTTTGCTTCTCATCCCAGAAGCTTCTTCAGCTCTGACTGGATGGTGGGGAATGGAAGGATTTATACTCCTTGCAGACCGCTGGTCATTTGCCTTCTTTGAGAAGGTCACTGAGGCCACTTGGAGGTTGACCTGAGTGGTGCAAATGGACGTGGAGCCTTTGTGGGACTGGTGAAAGGGTCAGGACACCCATGTGTCCACGAATATTCGGAGGAGCTGCGGTGGTGCAATTGATTTACCTTGGTGTGCATCCCATGAGCCTCGGGGAAGCAGTGTGCATTCTCCTCGGCATCATGTGATGAGTTTTTCTTGGGTTGTTTTCCTGGATTGTGACCTCCCTTGTGGAGTCTTATGGTCCGGCTGAAGAAGACTTGGGCGCCCTCTTCCTTGAAAGAAGTTCATTCATCTTAGATCAGTTTCCCAACTTTGGCTGTTTGACGGTGGGGTGGACTTCAACTCCCAGAATCCCCCCGTCAGCCCTGCAGGGCTGACAGGGGGATTCTGGGAATTGAAGTCCTCCCATCTTCACGTGGCTAAGGTTGGGAGATTCTGATCTGGAACAATGACGCTGAACAGAAACTTCACAGGACTCTTCGTCTAACGAAGTTCATCATCTCCTTTGTGGTTCTAAGAAGGATGGATTGTTGAAGGGCGGACAAGCTACCGTCCACTCTTCGTGAACTATAGGTAGATTATCTAACCATGATGATCCATCTTCCACCTGGCCCTTCAGGAGGACTTTCTTGGTGGAGCGATCTCGAGGCTGTTTATTCGTGGTTATCCATGCTTAGAATAACAGTGCTGGAAGGGACCTTGGAGGTCTTCTAGTCCAACCCACCACTCAAAGAGGAATCCCAATCCCATTTCAGACAAATGGCTGCCCAACTAGGGAACGTCATCAGTGCTGGAAGGGTAGGGGATTTGCTGGAAGGAAGGAAGGAAGGAAGGAAGGAAGGAAGGAAGGAAGGAAGGAAGGAAGGAAGGAAGGAGGACAATGACTCTAGTTGCTCTCTGAGCTGGGTGGTTTTCCTGCAGACATTTCATGACCCAGCTGGGTAACATCAGTGGTAGAAAGGAGGGGGATTTGAGAGGGAGGGAGGGAGGGAGGGAGGGAGGGAGGAAGGAAGGAAGGAAGGAAGGAAGGAAGGAAGGAGGAGGAGGAGAACTGTGGGGTCCTTGGTGCTCTCTAAGCTTGGTGGTTTTCTTGCAGACGTTTCATGACCCATCTAGGTAATATCATCAGTGCTGGATGGGAAGGGAGTTTGTTGAGTGGAGTAGTAGTAGTAGTAGTAGTAGTAGTAGTAGTAGGAGGAGGAGGAGGAGGAGGAGGAAAGGGGTTGGGAGAAGGAATGCAGGCGAGCAAGAACGAAGGCGCCATATTGTCTACATCTCCGGACTGTGTGAAATTCCGGAGCTTGGCGCTGCTGCTCTCCTCACTTGCCTTGCAGACAGATATTGTGGGGATCCTGACCCGGTCATTGATCCCCCTTTGGGACTGACAACCCCCTCCCTCTTGCTTTTCAGACTTCCCCAAAGACCTGGAGCACCGGAGTGACCCCCACCGGAGAGGCTCCCTCTGCGACCGACACTGTGTGGCCATTAACAACATCCACGGGGACCTGGCGGATATGCCTTCGGAGTCCCACCAGCTCAGCCACGGGATCCTGCCCCCCCGGATCCGGCCAGGTAAAGGGGTCCCAGCTGTGGTGGATGCTCCCTTTGGAGGCGTCACAAAAGGAGAAGATGGAAATCACGTTGACGTAGGAGCACGGTGCAGCCCAGAATTTGTGTGGCTAAGTGAGACAGAAATTAAGCGAGTTTTGCTTCGCTTTACCACCTTTCTCTCCAGCGTCATTAAGCAAATCACCACAGGTTAAGTCAGGAACACAGTTGTTAAGCGAAACTGGCATCCCTCGTTGACTTTGCTGGTCATTAAGGTCGCAAAAGGGGATCCCGGGACCCTGAAACTGTCATAAAGAGGAGTCAGTGGCCAACCGTCCAGATTTTGATCACTTGACGGTCGTAAGTGTGAAAGACACTTTTTTTCTAACTTCGATCGGTCACTAAGCAAACAGTTGCAAGTCGAGAACTAGCTGTACCTCACAAGGCTGGGAACCATGGGGAGATCACTTGACCCTGAGCCAGCTGTGTGCGGCAGCAGCCAGAAAAACTAACACAATCCTGGGTTGCATAAACAGAGGCATAGAATCCAGATCACGCAAAGTATTAGTACCGCTTTATAAAACCCTAGTAAGGCCACACCTGGAATACTGCAGGCAATTTTGGTCACCATATCACAAAAAAAGATGTTGAGAGTCTGAAAAAAAAATTCAGAGAAGAGCAGCGGAGATGATTAAGGGGATTGGAGACCAAAACATACGAGGAACGGCTGCAGGACTTGGGGTTGGCCTGTCTAGAGAAAAGAAGAAATAGGGGAGACATGATAGCAGCGTTCCAGTATCTGAGGGGCTGCCCCAAAGAAGAGGGAGTCAAGCTATTCTCCAAAGCACCAGAGGGAAGGATGAGAAACAATGGTTGGAAACTGAACAAGACAGAAGAAATCTGGAATTAAGGAGAAACTTCCTGACAGGGAGGACAATTAACCAGTGGAACAGCTTGCCACCGGAAATCGCGGGCACTCCATCGCTGGAGATCTTTAAGAAAAGATTGGGCAGCCATTTGTCCTGAATGGAATAGGGTCTCCTGCTTGAGCAGGGGGCTGGACTAGAAGACCTCCAAGGTCCCTCCCAGCTCTTACTCTATTCTAAAGCCATAATTTAAATTCAGACGGATAACAGGAATAGACTGTAGTGAAGTGTTAGGACCGTGAAAACCAGGGAACTTTATAAGGCAAAACCGGGCTTGCAAATCCAATTATCCACAGCAGTTAAATACATTTTAGGAAGAATTTGAGCAATAATAATAATAATAATAATAATAATATGGTAAGAGCGATAGGTAGACAAAATGCCAAATCCAGTCTGAACATCTGGCTGACTGTGTGATGATCATCAATAATAATAATAATAATAATACCATCAAATATCCACATCTGCCTATCCCAGGTCCTGGGTAAGGACTCGATAGGTAGAAAAAATGCCAAATCCAGTCTAAATATCTGGCTGACTGTGCGATGATCCATAATAATAATAATAATAATAATAATAATACCATCCAACATCCACATCTGCCTATCCCAGGTCCTGGGTAAGGACTCGATAGGTAGACAAAATGCCAAATCCAGTCTGAACATCTGGCTGACTGTACGATGATCGATAATAATAATAATAAAAAGTTGGAAGGGACCTGGGAGGTCATCTAGTCCAACCCCCTGCTCAGGCAAGAAACCCTATACCATACTTCCTGTACTTCATGGCTTGCTGTGATTTAAAATCCATCTTGGCAGATTAAACCGTGGTTTGGCAAAAGCCTCTGCTTGTTGGAAAGAATTGGGGGGGGGGGGCGGGAATAGCAGGCCAAGGTCTCCACCAGCTTCTAGCCTCCCTCTCTTCTCTACCTAGTGGTCTCCAGCCCAGGCTGCTGCCTGCATCACTCTGAGGACGTTCAGACGTGCGAGGGCTGCCTGCAGAAGATGACCCTGACGGCCGAGAACGAGGTGGAAGCCCACCGTCTCTCCAACAATTACAAGGTCGGCGTGCGAAGGTCTGCCCGGGTTGGGGAAGGTGGAGGAGGAGCAGACCCGAAGGTGCCTCTTTCAAGAGGCAACTGGACTTTCTTGTTTTGCTTTGAAGATGTTTCGCTTCTCATCCCAGAAGCTTCTTCAGGTTCTGACTGGATGGTGGGGAATGGAAGGATTTATACTCCTTGCAGAGAGCCGGTCATTTGCCTCCTTTTAGAGCAGTGGTTCTCAATCTTTTTTAATGCCGCGACCCCCCCCCAACCGGTCGTAAGTCGAGGACTACTCAACCGGTCGTAAGTCGAGGACTATTCAACTGGTGCAGCCCCGTTTGCAGAATGGGACTTTGGAAAGCCAATAGAATGAGACTCTATTCAAGAGAGTCTATTCTATTGGCTTTCAAAAGCCAATAGAATAAAAGGGAGTAGCACAGCTAAGGAAAAGGGGAGGAAAAAATGGCGGACTGCGTTGTTTGGCGACCCCCGTGAAATGGTCGTTCGATCCCCAAATGGGGTCCCGACCCACAGGTGGAGAACCGCTGTTTTAGAGAGTCGTTGACGCCTGGGGAAAAAAACTGAAAATATTGGGGGGGGGGGGAGAAACAATTTTTTTCAGTTTTTTGTTGTTTTTTTCAAGCAGCTTTGGGAAAAAAAGGAAGAAAATGGAGGCCCGTGCCTAACCAAAAGTATAAACAGAAATCTCTTTTGGCGTTCTTGAGTAATAGTAATAGTAGTAAAGTTGGAAGGGACCTTGGAGGTCATCTAGTCCAACCTCCTGCTCAGGCAGGAAACCCTACACAAGTGGTTCTCAACCTGTGGGTCGGGACTCCATTTGGGGTCGAACAACCATTTCATGGGGGTCACCAAACAACGCAGTCCGCCATTTTTTCCCCCTTTTCCTTAGCTGTGCTCCTCCCTTTTATTCTATTGGCTTTTGAAAGCCAATAGAATAGACTCTCTTGAATAGAGTCTCATTCTATTGGCTTTCAAAAGCCAATAGGAATTGTCCAGGCTGTCTCTGTCCTGCTGAGCCCGCCAAAAGTCCCATTCTGCAAACGGTGCTGCACCAGTTGAGTAGTCCTTGACTTACGACCGGTTGAGTAGTCCTCGACCTATGACCGGTTGGGGTCGCGGCATTAAAAAGGTTGAGAACCACTGCCCTACACCATTTTGTAAATGTAAAGTCGTTGTAATTTACACGTCCATGCTTCTTCTTCTTCTTCACACAGTTCGGCTTTAAGAAATGGAAGAGTCACGTCACGGCTCGGCCCTGGGAGGATCGTTCGGAAATTGTCAAGGAGCTCTACTCGGACCTGACTATCGTCAAAAGTCCAACAGGTAAAGCCCAGGCCATTTTCTGCCGCTATTCTAGTGCTGGCTGGGGAATTCTGGGAGTTGAAGTCCAGACGTCTTAAAGTTAATCAGGTTGAGAAACGAAACTCTTGAATTCCCAGAAGGAAGATTCACATTCTTCTGCCGTTTCCCCCTCAAATGCCATCGTCCTCGACTTTCCACCGTTTGTTAGTGGCCATTTGAAGTGACAACAGCCCTGAAAAAAGTGACACCTAACCTGTCCTCACACTTACGACCGTTGCCGCATCCCCAGAGTCACGTGGTCAAAATCCAGGCGCTTGGCAGCTGGTCTGTATTTACAATCGGATGAGTCTCAGGGCCTTGCGAACGCCAGCAGATTCCCAGAACAAGCGCGGGAAACAAGGTCCTAAAAGTGGGTGCTCCTCATTTAACAACCGCCTGGCTTAGCAACGGGCAACCTGATCCCCCTTGGAGTTGTCAGTTGAGGACTGCCTGTAGTGAAGACTAGGTCAGTGGTTCTCAATCTTTTTAATGCCGCGACCCCAACCGGTCGTAAGTCGAGGACTACTCAACCGGTCGTAAGTCGAGGACTACTCAACTGGTGCAGCACCGTTTGCAGAATGGGACTTTTGGCAGACTCAGCAAGGCAGAGACAGCCTGGACAATTCCTATTGGCTTTTGAAAGCCAATAGAATTAGACTCTATTCAAGAGAGTCTATTCTATTGGCTTTCAAAAGCCAATAGAATAAAAGGGAGTCGCATAGCTAAGGAAAAGGGGGAAAAAATGGCGGACTACGTTGTTTGGCGACCCCCGTGAAATGGTCGTTCGACCCCAAATGGGGTCCCGACCAACAGGTTGAGAACCACTGGACTAGGTGGAAGCTGGTTTTCTCTAGGTTGTGGCCTTAACATCCTAGTAGGATGGTCTACTACTTGGGTTATGAAGCTGCGCAGGGCAAATGTCAGGAATAAAGTCAACATTCACAAGATCTCGAAGGACACGTGACGTCCAAAATTGATTTGAGGTCCTCCTCTGTGGTCGTGTCCTCTCCAGGTTCCATGCTGACCTGTGGCAACATCTTCTACCTTCTCTTCTTTGGATGGTGGCTCTTCCTACTCTACACCGTGGTCTCCCTTCTGATGTTCCTCACCTTGCTGGGGGCGCCCTACGGTGAGGATGTGGATGCCCAGTATCCCTGGAGAATGGGGGGGGAGGGAAGATCAGGTCTCCATGGGGCAGGGGGAAGGTGGAGGCAGGTGTGTCCACACGTGTGTGCAGGTGATTGTCCATCCAAGCAAAAGGTCTACTCTATGACTTTCTCTTCTTGATTTTAGGAAAACTGTGCTGGAAACTTGCTGGATATTTTCTCTGGCCATTTGGGAAAGTCATTCAGAAGGTAAGGAGGAAAGTTGGAGAGCATTCTGGGTTGGTTGAAGCTTCTTTCTTCACCCTAGACTAGGGTGGCTTTCTCCAGATCCTAGGATTCCCCAGTCAGGATGACCTTCAACTCAAATAAATGTCTATGGAGATTCTCGGTCATCCAGGTCAGAGTTATCCCAAAGATGCTTTTTCACGAAGCAACTGGACTTTCCAGGCCAGTGGTTCTCAACCTTTTTAATGCCGCAACCCCCAACCGGTCGTAAGTCGAGGACTACTCAACCGGTCATAAGTCGAGGACTATTCAACTGGTACAACACCGTTTGCAGACTGGGGCTTTTGGCGGACTCAGCAGGGCAGAGACAGCCTGGACAATTCCTATTGGCTTTTGAAAGCCAATAGAATTAGACTCTATTCAAGAGAGTCTATTCTATTGGCTTTCAAAAGCCAATAGAATAAAAGGGAGTAGCACAGCTAAGGAAAAGGGGGAAAAAAATGGCGGACTGTGTTGTTTGGCGACCCCTGTGAAATGGTCATTCGACCCCAAATGGGGTCCCGACCCACAGGTTGAGAACCACTGTTCTAGGGTGTTTTTTTTTAAAAAAGACATTTCACTTCTCCTCCAAGAGGCTTCTTCAGCTTGCTCTGGATGGTGGGGAACGGGAGGATTTATACTCCTTGCAGACAGCTGGTCATTTGCATTCTTAGAGGGTCATTGAGGCCACTTGGAGATTTTTTTTTTAATTTTTATTTTTAACCAACAAGACAAAACAGAACAAAGCAAAACATAATACACATAACACACACAATATTTACTCCTCCTTTTTTTTAACAGCAATTACGGAACGGTAATCTAATATTTACATTTCCCTCTTATTCTTCTTTAGAATATTTGTCCTTATAGCCCCGTTATTTCTTATTTACATTTTTCTTCATGTTCTACTTCTTACTAAGAATAATTCATATTATTCTTATTATACATTATTATATATTTTCACATATTTTCACTTTTGACCTTTCCGTATTTATTGTCCTCTATTATTTCTAGTCTCTGAGGCCACTTGGAGATTTATCAGTGTCCGAGGGGTCACCCGAGGAGTGCAAATGGGTGTGGGGCCTTGGATGCCTTCACAGGGGCAGAAAACATCCTGCAGCCAAGAAGACTCCACACACACATATACACGACGTAGATGACCCTGCGGACACAGACAAACCTCCAAGTAGCCTCGACGACGCTCTAAAACAGTGGTTCTCAACGTTTTTAATGCTGCAACCCCAACCGGTCATAAGTCGAGGACTACTCAACCGGTCGTAAGTCGAGGACTACTCAACTGGTGTAGCACCGTTTGCAGAATGGGACTTTTGGCGGGCTCAGCAGGGCAGAGGCAGCCTGGACAATTCCTATTGGCTTTTGAAAGCCAATAGAATTAGACTCTATTCAAGAGAGTCTATTCTATTGGCTTTCAAAAGCCAATAGAATAAAAGGGAGAAGCACAGCTAAGGAAAAGGGGGGAAAAATGGCGGACTGCGTTGTTTGGCGACCCCCGTGAAATGGTCGTTCGACCCCAAATGGGGTCCCGACCCAGAGGTTGAGAACCACTGCTCTAAAAGAATGCAAATGACCAGCTGTCTGCAAGGAGTATAAACCCTTCCATCTCCCACCATCCAGTCAGAGCTGATGAAGCTTCTTGGAGGAGAAGCGAAACATCTTCAAAGGTAAAACAAGAAAATCCAGTTTCCTCATGAAAAAGCACCTTTGGGTCTTCATTTCAGCCAACTGGGGGAATTCTGGGAAAGCTGGCATTAAGTCTTATCCCTTTCTGTTCTGGATGACCACGTCTGAAGACCAGCGGGGAAGATGTCCGGAAAACCACAGTTCTTCACTGGATTATCCCCTTACTCCAGATCAGGGAACCTGAATTTTGGAGGGAGGAATCCGATTGGTTCTTCTCTCCGTCTTCCAGTTGAAAACCTATCGTCCAGATTGCCAGATGAAGTTCAGCAAGAACCAGGTCATCGCGGAGGTCATGGTGGTGAAGGACACCACCCCCTTGCTCGCCCGGCAGGAGTCGTGCAAGATGGGTGGTTGTGGTTACTGGGTAAGGGTCGTCTTTGTTCGTTGAGGGAAGACGCGAGGGTTTTTTTTCTGGATCCTTCCAGGAAGCGCTGGTGGCGGTTCCATGCGCCTTCTAAGAAGCTTTGTAGCTTCTTTCTTGATTGGTGAGATAAGCTGCCCCCTTCAGGCTTATAATGGTATAATGCAGGGGTCTCCAATCTTAAGACTGGTGGACTTCAACTCCCAGAATTCCCCAGCCAGCATTGACTGGATAGGATAGGATAGAATAGAATAGAATATAGAAATAACAGATTGTAGAATAGAATAGAATAGAATAATAAAATACAGAATAGAATAGAATAGAATAGAATAGAATAGAATAGAAAATAGGGAATAGAATAGAATATATGGAAAGAATAGAATAGAAAAGAAAATAGGGAATAGAATAGAATATATGGAAAGAATAGAATAGAATAGAATAGAATAATAAAATATAGAATAGAATAATAAAAATAGAATAAAATAGAATAGAATAGAACAGTATAATAAAATATAGAATAGAATAAAAATAGAATAGAATAGAACAGTATAATAAAATATAGAATAGAATAATAAAAATAGAATAGAATAGAATAATAAAATATAGAATAGAATAATAAAAATAGAATAGAATAGAACAGTATAATAAAATATAGAATAGAATAATAAAAATAGAATAGAATAGAATAGAACAGTATAATAAAATATAGAATAGAATAGAATAGAATAGAAAATAGGGAATAGAATAGAATATATGGAAAGAATAGAATAGAAAAGAATAGAATAGAATAGAATAATAAAATATAGAATAGAATAATAAAAATAGAATAGAATAGAATAGAATAGAACAGTATAATAAAATATAGAATAGAATAATAAAAATAGAATAGAATAGAATAATAAAATATAGAATAGAATAATAAAAATAGAATAGAACAGAACAGTATAATAAAATATAGAATAGAATAATAAAAATAGAATAGAATAGAATAGTATAATAAAATATAGAATAGAATAATAAAAATAGAATAGAATAGAATAGAACAGTATAATAAAATATAGAATAGAATAGAATAGAACAGAACAGAACATGTGATTGGACACACAAGGAATTTGTGCAGAAGCTTTCAGTGTACATACAAGCAACAGGTGATAAATCATTATCATAACCAACATAAAAAATACATTCCTCTCCCCGAGACGCGTGTTTCTCCCCACTGGGGACCCCCACCTCGTCCACCCTAACTCTCCCTCTTCCCCACCCTGCCCAGAGGCGCCTCAGCACCTACCTCTGGCTGCTGACCAGCTTCCCCCTCCTCGCCATTGCCCACGCTCTGGTCTGCCTCGTCTGCTGGCTTCTGGTCTTCTTCATCCCCACGGCCAAGATGAGCCTGCGCACCGTCACCACGATTTTACTCCTGCCCCCCGAGTGCGTCCACATCCAGCGCCTGCGGAAGGTGAGCAGGCCAAAAAGGGGGTTGGGGTTTTTACAGGGGCCGTGGGCAGGTAGCCCTCGATTTACGACAGCTCGTTGAGCGACCGTTGGAAGTCACAACGGCGCTGAAAAAAAGGGACGTAGGACCCTTTTTCACATTTAACGACCGTTGCAGTCGCAGCATCCCTTGGGGTCATGTGATCAAAATGCAGGCCCTCGGCAACCGACTCGTCTTTAGGACGGCTGCAATCCCCCCCCCGATCTCGTGCGGTCCCCCTTTTGCGTCCTTCCGACAAGCAAAGCCAGTGGGGAAGCCGGATGCACTTAACAACCGTAGTACTCGCTTAACAACCGCAGGGGTTCACTTCACAAGAGCGGCCAGAAGGGTCACAAGGTCACAAGCCAGGGAAGCCAGATTTGTTCAAGAACCCCATTATTCACTTAAGGGGTTCACTTCACAAGAGTGGGCCCGGAAAGGTCACACAACGGGGCAAAACTCATTTTTAACGACGGTCTCGCGTAGCAACGGAAATGTTCGGCTCCGTTGCGGCCGTAAGTCGAGGACTGCCTGGCCATAGAAGCGGGAAATCAGCCCAATCTGGTTTGTTCTTCTCTTGTGTTCCTTCTCTGCTCCAGACGGAAGTCCCCTTAGATGCGGAAGTGGTCCTTTGTTGTTACCGGGCGGTCTGTGCGTATTATTACAAATACGCTGTGGATGGGATCAACGTCTTCGCCGTCAGTATCCTTTGGGGACCCCACAATCCTCCTCCTCCTCCTCCTCCTCCATGCAAACCCCACTCCCTTCCAGCACTGATGATGTTACCTAGATGGGTTATGAAATATCTGCAAGAGAGCAGCCAAGCTCAGAGAGCACCGAGGATCCCACAGTCCTTTTCCTCCTCCTCCTCCTCCTCCTCCTCCTCCTCCTCCTCCTCCTCCTCCTCCCTCCTCTTATTCCTCCTCCTCCTCCTCCTCTTCCTCCTCCCCCTCCCCCTCCCCCTCCTCCTCCTCCTTGCAAATCCCCATTCTCTTCTAGCATTGATGAAGTTACTTAGTTGGGTCATGAAACGTCTGCAAGAAATCAGCTAAGCTCAGAGAGGACCCTACAGTTGTCCTCCTCCTCCTCCTCCTCCTCCTCCTCCTTGCAAATCCCCATTCTCTTCTAGCATTGATGATGTTACTTAATTGGGTCATGAAACGTCTGCAAGAAATCAGCCAAGCTCAGAGAGGACCCTACAGTCGTTCTCCTCCTCCTCCTCCTCCTCCTCCTCTTCCCCCTCCTCCTGCTCCTCCTCCATCTGCAAGAGAGCAACCAGCCTCAGAGAACACCCAGGACCCGCACAATACAAAAGGGCCTCGTTTCTTCTCCTGGGATGTATTTCCAACTTCCCAATTTAGTCAATAGCCATGGATTTCTAGCAAGCTACCGTAGGGATGCTAACCAGGGTCCGTAAACACATTGAGCTTCGTTTTGCAAGCTCAGCGGGCTCTGCTCCCTCTGCTGCCATCATGATAGATGCATTTTCCTCACCCACAAACCTCCAGATCTCCTCCCGTTGGTCATCGTGACTCTGACTTTGGGCTATGCCGATAAGCACAACTACTACACCGGCTCCGTGACAAAGTTCACCCTGGCCTTGCTCTCCATCATGCCTCTCTCCTACTATATCGGCATGGCGATTGCCAGGTGAACGCTTCAACTCTCAAAGTGGAACCGGGATCCTCTTTAAAACACAATGAGGGCTGTCAAGATAGGTAGATAGATAGATGATAGATAGATAGATAGATAGATAGATAGATAGATAGATAGATAGGAGATGGTAAGATGGATGGATGGATGGATAGATGGATAGATAGATAGATAGTAAGAAATGATAAGATAGATAGATAGATAGATAGATAGATAGATAGATAGATAGATAGATAGATAGATAGATAGATAGATAGAGATGGTAAGGATAGATGGATGGATGGATAGGTAGATAGTAAGAAATGATAAGATAGATAGATAGATAGATAGATAGATAGATAGATAGATAGATAGATAGATAGATAGGAGATGGTAAGATGGATGGATGGATGGATAGATAGATAGTAAGAAATGATAGATAGATAGATAGATAGATAGATAGATAGATAGATAGATAGATAGACAGTCCCTTCCAGCCTTATGATTTTATAAGATAGATAAAATACATGACAGACAGACAGACAGACAGGTTGGATGGGAGGAAGGAAGGAAGGAAGGAAGGAAGGAAGGAAGGAAGGAAGGAAGGAAGGAAGGAAGGAAGGAAGGAAGGAACAGCTTATCTCCAGAAGTTGTGTGTGCTCCAACACTGGAAGTTTTTAGGAAGAGCTTAGACGAGTTGTCTCAAATGATATAGGACAGGGGTAGGCAATCTTGGCTCTTTTATGACTGGTGGACTAACTCCCAGAATTCCTGAGCCAGCCACGCTGAGGGGAAAGGGAGAGGTTTCCCAGCTGAGCCAGGCTTGCTCAGGAATTCTGGGAGTTGAAGTCGACCAGTCATGAGGGGGACCTAGTTTCCCCATGCTGGCTCAGGAATTCTGGGAGTTGAAATCCACGAGTCATAAAAGAGCCAAGGTTGCCTACCCCTGCCCTAGGCCTAGGCCACTTTATGACTTGTGGACTTCAACTCCCAGAATTCCTGAGCCAGCCACACTGAGGGGAAAGGGAGAGGTTTCCAAGCTGAGCCAGGCTGGCACAGGAATTCTGGGAGTTGAAGTCCATGAGTCATAAAAGAGCCAAGGTTGCCTAGCCCTGGTCTAGGCTCTCCTGCTTGAGCAGCGGGTTGGGCTAGAAGATCTCCAGGGTCCTCTTCCGACTCTGTTATTCCGTTATTCTCTTCCTGGAGGAATCCAGGCAGACCCTCAAGATCTGGCCCTCACCTCTGGCCGTGAGAAACCCTCTTCCTCTTCCTCCTCCAGCATCTCGGCACAGAGCAACTTCGCGGTAGGGGCCGTGGTCAACGCCACGTTTGGCTCCATCACGGAACTCACCTTCTACATCACGGCCCTCATCAAGGGGGCTCGCGAGAAGAACAGGTGCTACGAGGAGATCGTCAAGTCCGCCCTCACCGGGACCCTCCTGGGCTGCGTCCTTTTCATCCCGGTGAGTCTGGGCCTCGAGCGCCTTTCCATGTGGCCTCCACTCCATTCTTGGTCTCGGGGATTGGATCGAGGAAAGTGGATTGGAATTCTGCAGCTGACGTGGAATAGCCTGGATAGACGGGAATATTTGTGGTTCGGGGGGGGGGTTGTCCTAGGTGCTCTCTGAGCTTGGTTGCTTTAGAAGAGAGTGAGGTTTGATGAGAGGAGAAGAAGGAGAAAGAAAGGGAAGATGGGTGGAGAAGGAATGAAAGAGGAGGAAGAGGAGGAGAAATAGGGAGGAGGAGGAGAAGGAGAAGGAGGAAGAGAAAGGGAAAATGGGAGGAGAAGGAATGAAAGAGGAGGAGAAGGAGGAAGAGAAAGGGAAAATGGGAGAAGGAATGAAAGAGAAGGAGGAGGAGAAGGAGGAAGAGAAAGGGAAGATGGGAGGAGAAGGAATGAAAGAGGAGGAGAAGAAGGAGGAAGAGAAAGGGAAAATGGGAGGAGAAGGAATGAAAGAGGAGGAGAAGAAGGAGGAAGAGAAAGGGAAAATGGGAGGAGAAGGAATGAAAGAGGAGGAGAAGGAGGAAGAGAAAGGGAAAATGGGAGAAGGAATGAAAGAGAAGGAGGAGGAGAAGGAGGAAGAGAAAGGGAAGATGGGAGGAGAAGGAATGAAAGAGGAGGAGAAGAAGGAGGAAGAGAAAGGGAAAATGGGAGGAGAAGGAATGAAAGAGGAGGAGGAGAAGAAGGAGGAAGAGAAAGGGAAGATGGGAGGAGAAGGAATGAAAGAGGAGGAGGAGGAGGAGGAGGAGGAGGAGGAGGAGGAGGACTGCTAGGTCCTTTGTGCTCTCTGACCTTGGTTGTTTTCTTGCAGACGTTTCATAACCCAACTAGGTAACATCATCAATGCTAGAAAGGAGTGGGGTTTGTGGAGGAGGAGGAGGAGGAGGAGGAGGAGGAGGAGGAGGAGGAGGAAGGACTGTGGGGTCCCCGGTGCTCTCTGAGCTTGGTTGTTTTCTTGCAGACATTTCATAACCCAACTAGGGAACATCCTCAGTGCTAGAAGGGAGTGGGATTCAAACTCTCCACCTCCCCTTTCCATAGTTTTGGGTAGAGCTTTCCTCCAATCCTGGTGGGCCTCTGCTGGCTGTCGATAATCTGAGTTCAAGTTTTTGCCGGATGCTCAGCCCAGCCCAGCCCAAGAGATCAAACTCGCTTCTCCTTGTCTCTGGCAGGGACTCTGCATGGTGATTGGCGGCATCCGACATCAAGAGCAGAGGTTCAACAGCCGATCGGCCGGGATCAGCTCCGCTCTCCTGTTCCTGTCGGTGGGAGGTAAGCTCTGCGGGGGCCCAAACCCTGTTTCCCCCCCCCCGTTCTCCTTTTGACAAGGAAGCGCAAATTATTTCAGATTCAAAATGCTGAGCTGAAGCATCACATTTTGAGCTGAAAGCAAGTTCGGCCTTTAATGGATGTATTTCTAGGTGGGACAGGTCAGGGTTGAAGCATCCCTGATAGAAAAAATACGACTAATAATAATTGAAACACATATTGGATGGATGGATGGATGGATGGATGAATGGATGATAGATGAGAGAGAGAGACAGACAGACAGACAGACACAGAGACAGATTGATTGATGGTGGATGGGTGATAGATAGATAGATAGATAGATAGATAGATAGATAGATAGATAGATAGATAGATACAGACAAACAGACAGACAGACAGACATAGAGGATAGATAGATAGATAGATAGATAGATAGATAGATAGATAGATAGATATAGAAACATGAAAAATGGAGAGGCAGAGAGAGATAAAAGATGATAGATAGATAGATAGATAGATAGATAGATAGATAGATAGATAGATAGATAGATAGAGACAGACAGACAGACAGACAGACAGACAGACAGACATAGAGGATAGATAGATAAGATAGATAAGATAGATAGATAGATAGATAGATAGATAGATAGATAGATAGATAGATATAGAAACATGAAAGATGGAGAGGCAGATAAAAGATGATAGATAGATAGATAGATAGATAGATAGATAGATAGATAGATAGATAGATAGATAGATGATAGATAGGATAGATAGATAGATAGATAGATAGATAGATAGATAGATAGATAGATGATAGATAGGATAGATAGGTAGATAAGCCATTGCCCTGTGATCTGGCTGGTTTTGCCCTCCAGTCTGGCATCACCTGTGGATGCTCCCCGTCCGTTTCTCTTACCTGCCAGGTGTGTTTGCCCCAACTCTCTTCTCCAAAGTCTACGGAAGACTAGTCTGTGGGGAATGCCAGAACCTTACCCAGGAACTACCCGGGCACTACGTCTGCCAGAGCTGTCACTTTGATTTGGTGAGCAAGACCTTCCCAGGGGTTTTGCACACCCGAGCAAGCAACGTCTGCTCCATTTCAGCCCCGGAGGAGAACTGAGGCCCCCAAGTCGGGTCCAGCCTTGGCACCTCCGCCCAGCCGCCTGGGGATGGCAGTTCCCAGCTAGGCTGGGGCGGCTTGCATCTGCAGTCCCAACGCCCCCAAGGGTCTTAAGTTGGCGTCAACCGGTCAGCTAAGAAGTAGAGGGCCTGCTGAGTTGTTTTGGGGGGTCAAAGGGGGTTTAGACGTGTGGCCTCTGACGGGGCATCTCTGCCCCCCCCCTCTTCTGTCTTGGCAGATGGAGAACAACGGGACTCTGTACTACAGCCATGTCGAGTGAGTATCCCTTGCTGGGAAATTTTATTTTATTTTATTTTTTATTTTTTATTTTATTTTATTTTATTTATTTTATTTTATTTTATTTTATTTATTTTATTTCATTTTTATGATTATTTTTATTTGATTTTATATTTATTTGATTTGATTTTATTCTATTTTATTTTATTCTTTTATTTATTTTCTTTTATTATTCTTTTATTCTTTTCTTTTCTTATTTTTCTTTTCTTTCTTTTCTTTTATCTTATTTATTTTTATTTTATTTTATTATTTTTATTTTATTATTTTCTTTTATTTCTTTTCTTTTTATTTTATTTATTTTATTTTATTTTAATTATTTTATTTTATTTTATATTTTATTTTATTTTTATTTGATTTTATATTTATTTGATTTTATTATTTGTTCTATTTTATTTTATTATTTTATTCTTTTCTTATTTTTCTTTTCTTTCTTTTCTTTTATCTTATTTATTTTTATTTTATTTTATTATTTTCTTTTATTTCTTTTCTTTTTATTTTATTTATTATTTTATTTTAATTATTTTATTTTATATTTTATTTTATTTTTATTTGATTTTATATTTATTTTATTTTATTATTTGTTCTATTTTATTTTATTATTTTATTCTTTTCTTTTATTTTATTTATTTTTCTTTTCTTTTATTATTTTTCTTTTCTTTTATTATTTTTCTTTTCTTTCTTTTCTTTTATTATCTTATTTATTTTTATTTTCTTTTATTATTTTTATTGTATTATTTTCTTTTATATTTCTTTTCTTTTTATTTTATTTATTATTTTATTTTAATTTATTATTTTATTTTATTTTATTATTTTCTTTTATATTTCTTTTCTTTTCCTTTTCTTTTTATTATTTATTTTATTTTTTTATATAAAGCCCCTGGAGGCTTTGAAGAAGAGATTGGACAGCCACTTGTCTGAAATGGTACATAGGGTCTCCTGCCTGAGCAGGGGGCTGGACTAGATGACCTCCAAGGTCCCTTCCAACTCTGTTGTTCTCTGTGTTGCTTTCTGTGTGGCAGACCCCTGGTCTACACGGTGTCTTTGATGCTCCCAGCCGCCTACTTCATCGGGCTCATCTTCACCCTGAAGACCCACTCCCACATTTACGACATCCACATCAGTGACTGTCACAGTAAGTTGTCTTGGCCTGGATGGCGCCGGTTGCTAAACGAGGACTCCCTGTATCTTGGCTGTCTTAAGCTCTTCCTCGCTCATTGCAACCCCTTCCTTCTAAGGTGTGGTGAGCCTCCCCCAACATTTCCTGGGTACTAGGAGGAGTATTCTTCTTGAACTCCGGGGAGTCCTCGGCTTACGACCACAATACTTTCCCCCCCTATTTGTATTGAGTTTAATCAAAATACGAAATGCACAGAAACACAAAGCAAAATAAAAATAATGGGAAGATAGGGGGAGGAAAAGGAGAACAGGAGAAAGTGACTATGCTGGTCGGAAGGTCGCAAAAGGAACGGGATCGCGTGACCGCAGGACACGGCAACCGTCGTAAATAGGAGTCAGTTGGCAAGTGGCCTGAATTTTGATCACGTGACCACGGTGTGTCTGTGTGTGTGTGTGTGTGTGTGTGTGTGTGTACTGCAACGGTCGTAAGTGTGAAAAGTGTGAGACTGGACAGCAAATTTGTCTGAAATGTATAGGATTTCCTGACTGGATGGGGGGTTGGACTAGATGACCTCCAAGGTCGCTTCCAACGTTATTACTATTACTATTATTACTATTATATTGTTATTACTATTATTACTATTATTACTACTATTATATTGTTATGATATTGTTATTATTACTATTACTCTATTACTATTATTATTACTATTGTTATTATGATATTGTTATTATTACTATTACTATTATTACTATTATATTATTATTATATCGTTATTGTTATTGCTATTATATTGTTGTCATTATATTGTTATTGTAACTGGTCATAAGTCACTTTTTTCCAGTGTTGTGACTTTGGACACAACTAAGTCACTAAGCAAACTGTCGTAAGTCAAGGACTGCTTGTACTTGGGGGGGGCAGGGCCACACAGGTGTATTGAAGTGACTTGTCCATCTTGAGCATCTGGAGCCAGACTTTCCTCCTGGCTCAGCTTACGACCTTAACCCCCCCCCCCAAAAAAGCTCTCCCCTTTGCTGTAGAAATAAACTTTTGGGGGTGCTGTTTATCGGTATACTTTTCCTGGGAGGGGGGGGTCCATGTTGATCCAGAGATGAGGAAAGCTGCAACCCAGCCAGGCCTGAGGACTCTTTTCCGGCTTCTTTGCAGTGCCCGGTCACCATCATAGCGCTGTGGTCCACTGGTCCCGCTGGAGAGCCGTGGTCATTCTCCTGGTGGCCACCCTAGGCATGTCCGCCTGTGCCGACCTGGCCACCGAGCACATTGGCCCCATCCTGAACAACTCCCCCGTCTCTCAGGTAAGGAGGGAGGGGGGGTTGTGGGGAGCCCCCAGGGTGCTTCTCCAGAAGGGGCCCAAGTGGCGGGAGATCAGTGGGACCAGTTGCTGGGAAATCCTGGTCGTTTCCAGGTCAATCGATTACCTGTGGGGTCCCTGGTGCTCTCTCAGCTGGGTGGTTTTCTCGCAGACGTTTCATGACCCAACTAAGTAACGTTATCAGTTTTAGAAGGGAGTGGGGTATGTGGAGAGGAGGAGGAGGAGGAGGAGGAGGAGGAGGAGGAGGAGGAGGAGGAGGAGGAGGAGGAGGAGGAGGAGGAGGAGGAGGAGGAGGAGGAAGAGAACCACTGCCGGTCTTTTGTGTTCTCTGAACTTAGCTGTTTGCTTGTAGACATTTCATAACCCAACTAGGTAACATTATCAGTGATAGAAGGGAGAGGAGGAGGAGGACTGTGGGGTCCTTTGCATTCTCTGAACTCAGCTGCTTGCTTGTAGACATTTCGTGACCCAACTAGGTAACATCATCAGTGCTAGAGCATTGATCATTGCAACATCTGCAAAAAAAGCTCAGCACCAAGGACCCCATTGATCATTGCAACATCTGCACCAAGCTCCGCACCAAGAACCCCACAATACTCCTCCTCCTCCTCTTCCTCCTCCTCCTCCTCTGCAAACCCCGCTCCCTTCCAGCATTGGTGATGTTCCCTAGTTGGGTCATGAAACGTCTGCAAGGAAACCACCCAGCTCAGAAAGCACCCAGGACGCCCACAGTTCAAGCTGAGCTACAAAGATTCTCTTCGGTTGGTAACTTATTATTACCGTTAGTGGGCTGCAAAATTGTGGCGTGACATCTGCTGAAAAATCACCGTCTTGTCCAGCCCTCTGTTGAACAGTAGTGCTTGATCCTGGATGCCAAGGTGGATCTAACTTTGAACTCTTACCTTGCCCTCCCAGTACTTCATCGGGGTGACTGTGCTGGCCATGGTGCCCGAGATCCCAGAGCTGATCAACGGAATCCAGTTTGCCTTGCAGAACAATCTCAGCTTGAGGTAAGTGCCTCCTCCTACGTGGTTGCCAATCCGATAAGGATGGTTGTGATGTCCCCCTTTGAAGACCACCTTGGTTTTGAATGTAGTTGTCCCTTGGCCTTGCGGTGGATCAATGTTTCTCGACCTTGGCTGCTCTTAGTAGACTTGAGCAATCAGAAGTAGATCCGGAGAAGCTAAGGTTTATTAAGACCGTTCAATATTGATTCGCCTTTTCAGCTACATTTTCTCTTTTGCTCCTTTCTTCACAATAGATGGCAAAGGTGGGAGGGGTGATGTCTAGGCCACCAAATGTCAAGGCTACTCAAAGGAGAAGAGGACTGTTTCCAGAACAAGAAGACTACTCTTGGACAATGTGGACACGGACTGGGTGGGGGGGAGGGAGTCTGTCGTTTGACTAAGCAAGCCTTCGCGCGGGAAAAACCAGAGCTGGTTTTGCTGCTTCTGTGCCAATGTAAACTTTCAGTAAAGTATTATACCAGTGGTTCTCAACCTTTTTAATGCCACGACCCCCAACCGGTCGTAAGTCGAGGACTACTCAACCGGTCGTAAGTCGAGGACTACTCAACCGGTCATAAGTCGAGGACTACTCAACTGGTGCAGCACCGTGTGCAGAATGGGACTTTTGGCGGGCTCAGCAGGGCAGAGACAGCCTGGACAATTCCTATTGGCTTTGGAAAGCCAATAGAATTAGACTCTATTCAAGAGAGTCTATTCTATTGGCTTTCAAAAGCCAATAGAATAAAAGGGAGTAGCACAGCTAAGGAAAAGGGGGGAAAAATGGCGGACTGCATTGTTTGGCGACCCCCGTGAAATGGTCGTTCGACCCCAAATGGGGTCCCGACCCACAGGTGGAGAACCACTGTATTATACTCTTGATAAAATCATGTTCCAGGAGTTGTTTTTTTTTTTTTCCTTCTGGAAATGCCAACTGGACAGTGGACAGATAATGGCTGCCGAACGGACTCATGGTGACCCCGAGTGACTTACAGAAATAAAACCCCAATACAAACCCCAATAAACCAGTGATAACATTCAAACTAGCCACTTGATGGGCTCCTATTGCCCTGGTGCACCCAGGCTTGATGCAAAACCAGGTGTTCAGGGCCAGAATAACAAGAGTTGGAAGGGACCTTGGAGGTCTTCTAGTCCAACCCCCTGCTCAAGCAGGAGACTGTCTACAATTTCCACCAAATGGTTCTCCAGTCTCTTCTTAAAAACTTCCAGTGTTGGAGCACCCGCAACTTCTGTGGGCAAGCTGTTCCACTGATTAATTTTTCTCATTGTTAGGAAGTTTCTCCTTAATTCCAAGTTGCTTCTCTCCTTGATTAGTGTCCATCCATTGCTTCTTGTCCTGCCTGCAAGTGCTTTGCAGAATAACTTGACTGCCTCTTCTGTGGGGTAGCCCGAGATACTGGAAGACTGCTATCCTGTCACCCCTCGTCCTTCTTTTCATTAAACTAGCCATACCCAATTTGTGCAACCGTTCTTCATATGTTTTAGCCTCCAGTCCCCTGATCCTCTTTGTTGCTCTTCTCTACACTCTTTCTAGCGTCTCAACATCTTTTTTTTAATATCGTGGTGACCAAAACTGGATACCATATTCCAAATGTAGCTTTTCAGAAGAGTGTCAAAGCGCAGTGTCAATTTTGTCTCTGCAGGGATGATGTTCCAAGGGAGGGAGCCACCACGGAGAAGGCCCTTCTTGGTCCACCAGATGGACTTCCTTAAGAAAGGGGACTTGTAACATCCCCGGCCTCTCCACTTCTGGTGGGTTGGGTAGTTCTAACTTGGAAAAGACGGTCCGTCGAGTAATGGGTTCAAGTCCCCCATAAGCCACAGCAGCTGCCTGGTTGCTGTTAAGGCTGTCACTCACTCTCAGCCCAATCCAGCTTACAAATGTCCTTTTAATGGGGAAAATAGATCTTAGGCTACCCATAGATATCAATGCATGCCCCATCAAAATGCGAAATATGGAAACGGTTGGGAACCCGGAAGTGTACAAATCCAGCTGGGGGATGTTCCTGTCCAAGCAGGGTCTCAGGTGGCAGGGGATGATGGGAAGCAAGCCCGTCCAATGTTTATGAGCTGAGCCTCACCCATGTCTTCCTCCTGTGTCCTTCTTTTGAAGCATTGAGATCGGGAACTGCATCGCGGTGCAAGTCTGCATGTTACAGATACCCATCCTGGTGCTCTTCACCGTGTTCTACGTGAGTAAGAGAGGGAGGATCTGCGAGAGATCCACGGTCTTTCAGAGGGGGAGGCCCTGGAATGCCTGGAAATGGGAAAATGCCTGGAAATGGGGCCCGTCTTTCTGAGTCTCAGTCTGGGTCTCTACTCTTGTCACCCTGGAAGAGGAGTGCATTCCGGAGGAGCAAGAGACAGTGAGGTTCAGATAGTTTGTGTGTGAGAAAGAGGGTGAAGACGGGTCCTCCTCAATAGTTCCCAGAGGAAAAGCTTTATGAGATGTTAGCACGCTTTAGTTGGCAGAGTCTTTTTTGGTTTGGGGGATTTCGACCTTCCCTCCCTTCCCCTTCCTTCCTTCCTTCCTTCCTTCCTTCCTTCCTTCCTTCCTTCCTTCCTTCCTTCCTTCCTCCCTCCCTCCCTCCCTCCCTCCCTCCCTCTCTGGAGAGCAGGGAGGAGCTGCGTTCTAGAGGAGCAAGAGACAGTGAAGTTCAGATAGTTAGTGTGTGAGAAAGAGGGTGAAGACAGGTCCTCCTCAGTAGTTCCCAGAGTAAAAGCTTTATGAGATGTGAGCACGCTTTAGTTGGCTGTGTCTTTCTTGGTGTGGTGAGTATGACCTTCCCTTTCCCTTTCCCTTTCCCTTCTCTTATTTCTTCCTTCCTTCCTTCCTTTCTCCCTCCCTCCCTCCCTCCCTGGAGTCTGCAAGAGACGGTGAAATTCAGACAGTTGGTGTGTGAGAAAGAGGGTGAAGACAGCTCCTCCTCAATACTTCCCAGAATACACACTTTATGGTTGCGCTAGCATGCTTTAGTTTGGCAAGATTCTGTCTATGGGTGAGGAAGAATAAAGAGATCTGCTTGGAAGAATCACAAGATGTCTGTCTTGGTTTTTTGGAGCCCGACATCAATCTAGCCATGCTAAAGCATAATTTATACTCATCTCGAGGGAGGTGGGAGTCGTCTTCTGTGTTTCATCCCTTTCTTGTGCGTTCTTTTGTCCTCCCCCCCCCCCGTTTTCTTTTCTGGTTATCAACTTATGACCCTAACTGAGCCCCAGAATTAAGTCCTGGCAGTCATAAAGCAGGTCATAAGGTGACCTCACTTTAGAACCACAACCTGGATTTTCCAGGCATGGTTGGTAAGTAGATGAAGCTAAAGATCTGCCTGCCGAAGGGAGATGAAAGCCACAGGGCCGGGCTGCAGAGAAGCTCAGATCCTTATAGGGAAGGCAGCAGAGAAGGTTGCAAATGAGGATCACGTTATTGCAGTCATGTGACTGGGGGGGCGCTGTGAAAGTTATAGGTTTAGGTGGGGGGGGGAGTCCTGTGTTCAGCATCATCATAATTTTGAATATTGGCTGAATGAACGGTCGTTAAGTCGAGGACTACCTGTGCTTGTTATATTTTTCTTAGTTTGTCTTATTAAAGTTGGGCAACTTTAATACAAAAATATTGTAAAAGAAGGCCACTGGATTTCAGCCCTCGGTCCCTGGGGCTGCCTGTCGATTGATGTGTTCCTTTCCTTTGGAGCAGCCCACCGACTTCATCCTGGTCTTCAGCGACCTCCACGTCTACGCCAGCATGTTCAGTGTGGTCCTCATGAATTACATCTTCATGGATGGCAAGTGTGATTACTTCCAAGGTGAGAACTTTTCCAGAAAGAAAGGAGGAGGAGGAGGAAGAAAAGGACAGTGGGGTCCTTGGTGTTCTCTGAGCTGGGTGGTTTTCTTGCAGACGTTTGGTGACCCAACTAGGGAACACCATCAGTGCTAAAAGGGAGAGTCTGTAAACTGCTTGGAAAGGACTGTAAAGCACGGTGGAGCAGTACATAAGTCTAAGCGCTATTGCTAAGTGTGTGGGAGGGAGGGAGGGAGGGAGGGAGGGAGGGAAGGAAGGAAGGAAGGAAGGAAGGAAGGAAGGAAGGAAGGAAGGAAGGAAGGAAGGAAGGAAGGAAGGACCGTGGTGGCGCAGTGGCTAGAATGCAATATTGCAGGCAAACTCTGCTCACAGCCTGGAGTTTGATCCTGACAGGCTTAAAGTGGACTCAGCCTTCCATCCTTCCGAAGTCTGTAAAATGAGGACCCAGATTATTTGAGGCGGGGGCCAACAGGCTGATTCTGTAAACCACTGTGAAGCAGTATATAAGTCTAAGTGCTATTGCTAAAAAGGAAGGAAGGAAGGCAGGAAGGGAGGGAGGGAGGGAGGGAGGGAGGGAAGAAGGAAGGAAGGAAGGAAGGAAGGAAGGAAGGAAGGAAGGAAGGAAGGAAGGAAGGAAGGAAGGAAGGAAGGAAGGAAGGAAGGAAAGAGCTGTGGTGGCATATTGGTTACAATGCAGTATTACAAGCAATCTCTGCCCGCTGCCAGCAGTTTGATCCTGACCCTTTCAAGGTCGACTCAGCCTTCTGTCCTTCCCAGGTTGGTAAAATGGGGACCCAGATTGTTGGGGGGCAATAGGCTGACTCTGTAAACCGCTTAGAGAGGGCTGTAAAGCCCTGTGAAGCAGTACATAAGTGCTATTGCTAAACGTATTTGAGATACTTCAGGCTGAGAACGGCTGCTCCAGTCACCCAATGTCCACGGCTGAGGAGGGGGCTACTTATCTCCTGTTAACTGTCCATGTTGTTGTCTCTCTCCCACCCAGGTACCGTGTTGGTGATGGTCTATTTCATCCTCCTGGCTGTGTATTATTTTGCCCCTTCTCCTGCTGGCTGCTGAGCCGACGGCTCCACTGGGCTTCCGTATTCCTGCCTCCTGGCATAGCAGTCGCTTCCCGCAAGCGCTTCTATCCGAGCAATGACTGTCTCGTAGGGAGGTGCTCGGGACAGACTTTAATAAGTATCCTTTTAGATTTATCTCCAAGGCAGCCATTCACCTTTTCCAGCTCATGAGCCTCTTGGGGGTCCTTCCTATATTGAAAAGCTGTAGGAGCTGCAGAAGACGCTGACCAACTCTTGGTGACCAACAAAGAGAGTTTCGGTGCAGTAAAGCAGCGATGTGGATGCCTCTGATAGACGAGCGTGCGGGTGATTTTCAACACGGATTAGAGAAGTGCTGCTGTTTCACTGTAGCTACCTCCAGCTTTTGTCACGCGGCCCCCTGCTGCAGGCAAAGACATACACACACCCCAAAGTCGAGAACCGCCCCTGATCTTGAGACAGAGCATGAAATAAAGGAAGCCGATTTTGAACGTCGTCTCCGGAGTGTGTTGGGGATGGTATCTTTCGTTTCGTAGCCATCACGGGAGAATACTCTTGAAGACAGGGGTCTCCAACCTTGGCCACTTTACGATTTGGGGACTTGCAACTCCCAGAATTCCTCAGAAATTCTGGGAGTTGAAATCCCCAAGTCGTAAAGTGGCCAAGGTTGGGGACCCCTGCTCTAAGAGGTGATGTAGAATCAGCGTGTCCTCCCACAGCCCATTTCTGGCATTGTGCAGGTAGTCCTCGATTTACGGCTGTAATTGAACCAGGAATTATGGTCGTACGTTGTGCTGGTTGTTCAGCTGGTTATCCCATTAAGAGAATAATGGAATGTCAGTGTTGGAAGGGACCCTGGAGGTTTTCTAGTCCAAGCAGGAGACCCTATACCAATGTCCAGTCTCTTCTTAAAAAGTTCCAAGTATTGGAGCACCCACAACTTCTGAAACAAGTCATTCCACTGATTGTTTATGCTGTCAGGAAATTTCTCAGCCTTCCGTCCTTCTGAGGCGTGTAAAATGAGGACCCAGACTGTTGGGGGCAAGATGCTGATTCTAGAAACCACTTAGAGAGGGCTGTAAAGTGCCATGAAGCGGCATATGTCCAAGTGCTCTTGTTCTTTCTTTTTCCTTCCTTCCTTCCTTCCTTCCTTCCTTCCTTCCTTCCTTCCTTCCTTCCTTCCTTCCTTCCTTCCTAGTGGTTAGAATACAGTATTGCAGGTTGTCTCTGCCCACTGCCAGGAGTTCAATCCTGACCGGCTCAAGGTTGACTCAGCCTTCCATCCTTCCAAGGTCGGTAAAACGAGGACCCACATTGTTTGGGGCAATTTGCTGACAATTTGCTGTAAGCTGCTTAGAGAGGGCTGTAAAGCAGTACATAAATCTAAGCGCTATATATGAAGTCAGAGATTGGGGTAGGAGCTGCCAACGGTTTCGATAAGCCCTTGAACGACCAACAAAGTGGAGGGGCAGAAAAGCACCTCCCAATTGTAGACAGGCCACGTTCAAACCGAGCAAGTAACAGTGTAATTTAGGCCAGGGCTTTTCAACCAGTGGTACGGGTACCACCTGGGGTACATTGGCACCTGGCAGGTGGTACGTGACCATCCTAGAAAAGTGGTAGCAGGGAAGGGGAATGAGCTGAACCAGTGGCAGCACCGCACAAGCCTGAGCAAGAGATGGCTGGAGCTGCAGGGCTGTCAGGGCTCAGCGGAAGCGCCAGGATCAGCATCAGGCTCCAGCTGGAGCTCGGCGCTGATCTTGGCGCTTCTGCTGAGCCCAGAAGAAGCACTGATCAGCTGGAATGCTGCAGCATCTCCAGGGTCTTGTGATTTACATTCAGATGCTTGGCAACGGATTCATATTTATGATGGTCACAGTGTCCCCGGGTCATGTGAAGTGACCAAAACCTGCTGCAACCATCCAGCAGATGGGGGGAATAAAAACCAAACACCCCCCACCCCACTTCTGCTGCCAATCCTCAACAGAAATGCTCACAACAATGAAAACCTCAAACAAGAGGAAGAGCGCCGCTGGGTGGGCAGGCAGGCGTCTTGCTCGGCTGTAGCTTGGGGGACACTTTTTTCAGTGCTGTTGTAACTTCGAATAGTCACTAAGCAAACTATTGTAAGTCAAGGACTACCTGTACTTTATCACTTTTTTTTCCTTTTGGGGGGGGGGGGTTATCAAGTTTTTGACACCTTCCTAGGCGACTGGTGGTACTCGGATGTTGCCGTATCCTAAAAGTGGTACAATGGGTGAAAAGGTTGAAAAGCCCTGATTTAGGCCACAGAAAAAACAGCACGTGTCAAAAGTAAAATAAACAGGATTAAAAACTAAAGGACATTCGCTCAGTAGTCTTCGACTTACGGTCACACCTGAGCCCAAAAGTTCTGTTGCTAAACAAGACAGCGAATCGTTGAATTTTGCCCAGTTGTGCAACCGTTCCTGCCGGGCGTGAAGCAAATCGCTGCGGTTGTTAGTCACACATTCGTGAAGCGAATCCAGCTTCCCTTGTCAGTTGCAAAAGGGAATCGCGTGACCCCGGGACACCGCAACTGTCATAAATTCAGGTCAGTTGCCCAGAATTCGAATTTTGATCACGCGACACTGGGGACGCTGCAACGGTCGTCAGTGTGAAAAACGTCAGTTGCTTTTTTCAGTGCTGCTGCGACCTTCACCCATCCTTAAACAAATGGTTGTAAAGAGAAGAGTACATGCACACACGAGACTTCCCCCACCCCAAATGCCACTTCCCCCCAGCCTCACCAGTTCCAGAAACAGGGGCAGCATTCCAGCCGCAAAGACAACTGTGAACAACAACCAGCAAGAGTTTTCAAGGATATTTTTTTTTTTAAAAAAAAAAAACCCAAATCAGAACCCTCATTTCTCAAGCTACGGTTTGATGCAGGTTAGTGTGAACATTTTACAGCATTAATTCCAACAAACATTCAGAACCACAATCAAGACAAAAGAGAGGGTTTTCCTTTTTTCCAGTGTTATTTTTTTTTAAAAGGCAAGAAATCTTGAGAGCAATACAGCTGCGTCCTCGCCTTAACCACCACAACCAAAAGGCCAAAACTTCTGTTTGCTAAGGGAGACATTTGTTAAAGTGAGTTTTGACCCATTTTACGTCCGTCCTTGCCTCAGTTGTGAAGTGAATCACTGCGGTTAAGTTAGTAACCCGGTTGTTAAGTGAAACTGGCGTCTCCCACGGAGGTTTGCTTGTCAGGAGGTCGCAAAGTGGGGATTCCCACGAGTTCCTCCGGGACGTTGCAACCGTCGTAAATATGAATCTGTAAATAAGTGTCTGAATTTTGATCCCAATCACATGATGCTGGGGAAGGCCACGACGGTCGTAGCTATGAAAACAGTCACAAGTCACTTTTTCCCCCCGTGTCGCCGTAACTTTGAACGCTAAGTGAACTGTCATAAATCGAGGACTTAACCTGTACTGGGATTTTTTGCTCATGCATGAGACACACCGACGATGACGCGGACTTTCCGGGGAATGACGGCCTGGCAATCAAAATACTCTTTTCGAGAGAACATCCCCCATCCGATTGGAAGGACTTTTCAAAAAAAAAAAAAATTAAATAAAAAATAACTGAAGCAAAACTTCAAAGGCCAGTTGGTAGGAAGAGAAATTAATTGCCGATACAGCTGCAGCACTGAACATGGATCCCCTCCCCGCCCATTTACACACACAAGCACCCTTGCAACGGGTGTGGGTGTGTGTAAAACAGCGTTATCTTGACGATTCTTATTTTTGGGAATAATTCTTCTCGTTTGGGATGTTGCTAGGAAAGGCAACTTAGCTAGGATTTTTTTCCAGATCACATCGACAAAACTCAAGATTGGGGTATCTGGGTAGGAAAGGGCAACAAAGGACCCCCCCTCCCCTGGTTCTACACAGTCGCAAGGGGCAGCCCCCGTTGTCGCTCTCCGTAAAAGGACCACCGAGGAACGACAAAAGCGGGGCTGGGGTTCCTCCGATTCTCTGCCAGGAAGCAGGAAAACGGCCTCACCGGATTCCAGAGGGATTCCAGGTACGCTGACCGCAGGATACCACCTCTTACGAAAGGGGAAGTCGCGGGCCGAAACAGGAAGGCCTTGACCGGATCCTCGCATTGCTGGCTGTGGAATTCTGGGAGTTGAAGTCCACATGCCTTAAAATGGTCAAGGTTGAGAAACACTGCCTTACGTGATTACAAGCGTGCAGCAAAACCCAGTACAGGTAGTTCTCAACTTACGACCATGAGCCCCACATTTCCGTGGCTTAAGGGAGACATTTGACAAACGTTTTTTCCCTGTTTTACGACCGTTCCTGCGACAGTGGTTAAGTGAGTCACGCAGTCACCCCATGGACTTTGCTTGTCGGGACGTCAAAAAAAAAAAGGGATTCACATGAGCCCGGGACGCTGTTAACGGGAGTTAAGTTGCCAAGTGGGGAATCCCGCAACGGTCGTTAAGTGTGAAAAACGGTTGAGCTGCTTTTTTTTCCCCAGTGCCTTTGGTCACTTCCGCATGGTCACTAAACGGACTCCGCTTAAGCCGAGGACGGCCTGCACAAATCGTCTCAGCGACAGCAGCTTTTCGTTCATGATGTATTTTTATAGGTCTCCATAAATTAAAAAATTAAAAAAAAAAAAAGAAGCAGAGTTTAATAAATTCTCAAATCAGTATAGAAAAAAAATATAGGCAACGGGAAAGGCGTCCGAAGTACTTGGCGTGTAAGGCTGGAGAAGCGGGGTGACGCTTTGGGCCTTCTCTTTCTCCTCCTCCTAGTCCGGGGTGTGTTTTCCGCAGGACCACGGAGAGGAAACGAGAACGGGCGAGAGGGGAAAGATGGAGGGAGGGGAGGGATGGGGAGGATAAAGGCCTTTTTTTTTTGTTTTTTAAATTAGCGCGCCGGCGTGCGGGACGTTTCATTTCAAGCGTTCGATGAGTCCCTGCGTCAGTCCGAGGTGCAGAAGCTGAGATCGGCTGAGATTGGCTAAATGGGGGTAAAAGATCAGCAGCTTCTCCCAAGAGAGTTCCAGCAGGCTGGGCACCACCAGCCACATCTTAAAGAGAGAGCCAGTCCGTCTGTTCCGGTGAATGTCCACTACGCCTCCGTGGACGTACATGCAGCCGGCCTGCGGAGCATCAGAAGGAAAGGAAAGAAAAAATAACGCGGTCAGAACTGGGTTTCGCAAAGCTTGTAAGCCCGCCTGGCCTCTTCTGGCAGCCCCCCAAGAATAGAAGAGAGAATGGCATGCTTGGGAGGGACCTTGGAGGTCATCTAGTCCAACCCCCTGCTCAGGCAGGAAACCCTACGCCATTTCAGATGAATGGCTGTCCAGTCTCTTCCTAAACACTTCCAGTGTTGGAGCATTCACCGCTTCTGGAGGCAGGTGGTTCCACTGGTTAATTGTTCTCACTATCAGGAAGTTTCTCCTTAGTTCCAGGTTGCTTCTCTCCTTGATTAGTCTCCATCCGTTGCTTCTTGTCCTGCCCTCAGGTGCTTTGGAGAATAGCTTGACTGCCTCTTCTTTGGGGCAGCCCCTGAGATATTGGAAGACCCCTCGTCCTTCTCTTCGTTAAACTAGACCTACCCAATTCCAGCAACTGTTCTTTATAGGTTTTTGCCCCGAGTCCCCTAATCATCTTTGTTGCTCTTCTCTGCACTCTTTCCAGAGTCTCAACATCTTGTGACCAAAACTGGATGCCGTATTCCAAGTGTGGCCTTACCAATGGAAGCTATGCGGGTCTAAAGCAGTGTTTCCTAATCTGGATATTTTTTTTAAGGTGCGTGGACTTCCACTCCCAGCATTCCCCAGCCGGTCTGGAGACCCCAATGTGACAGGGAGCCCACCCAGGGGTCAGGGTGATGGCTGTCCCCAGGGGGGTGGGGTGGGGGCAACCTCTTACCGGAGTGACAGCCGCACAGTGGAAATAAACGGGCTCGGGCATCAAGGCGGGCAGTTTCACCCACTGGAACGTCTGCAGGCTGAGTCTCCAGATGTCGCCCAGGATCACCTCTCCATTGTATCCCCCGCAGACAAAGACATCTGAGAGAAGACGGGAGGGTGTTTTTTTTTCCCCATCAATAGGTCAATTGTGGGATGAGAAATTAGTTTTCTTTCAGTGGCAACCTTAGGATCCAATTCTTGCCCCTTAAATTTCCCACTCAGCATGCATTCTAGTCCCAACTCAGGCAAGGAAACCGGCTGGGTGACCTTGGACCAATCACCAGGAGGCAGAGAGTTCTAGTCCCGCCTTAGGCATGAAAGCGGGCTGGGTGACTTTGGGCCAATCACCAGGAGTCGGTGAGTTCTAGTCCCGCCTTAGGCAGGAAAGCCGGCTGGGCGACTTTGGGCCAATCACCAGGGGACGGTGAGTTCTAGTCCCGCCTTAGGCAGGAAAGCCGGCTGGGCGACTTTGGGCCAATCACCAGGAGACGGGGAGTTCTAGTCCCGCCTTAGGCAGGAAAGCCGGCTGGGCGACTTTGGGCCAATCACCAGGAGACGGTGAGTTCTAGTCCCGCCTTAGGCATGAAAGCCGGCTGGGTGATTTGGGGCCAATCACCAGGAGACTTTAAGTTCTAGTCCCGCCTTAGGCACAAAAGCCAGCTGGATGACTTTGGGCCAATCACCAGGAGACGGTGAGTTCTAGTCCCGCCTTAGGCATGGAAGCCGGCTGGGTGACTTTGGGCCAATCACCAGGAGTCAGGGAGTTCTAGTCCCGCCTTAGGCAAGAAAGCCAGCTGGGCGACTTTGGGCCAATCACCAGGGGATGGTGAGTTCTAGTCCCGCCTTAGGCACGGAAGCCGGCTGGGTGACTTTGGGCCAATCACCAGGAGATGGTGAGTTCTAGTCCCGCCTTAGGCATGAAAGCCAGCTGGGTGACTTTGGGCCAGTTTCAGCCCAACCCACCTTACAGGGTTGTTATGGGGAAAAGAGGAAGAAGCAGGAGCATTAAATAGGTTTCCAACCTTTATAAAAAATGATAATAATAAAGGCGGGATGGATAAATGCAAAATAAAAAAATACACAATGAAAAACCGTCGTCAGAATTCCACCCACCCAAAGCGGGAAACTCTGTTGTTGCCCATGTCCCAAAGTTAGCTATTTCATACCATTTTTTATCTGTACACAACTATGACATCTTCGGGCTGCAGGATAATCTGTGGGTTTAAAAGCCGGAATGTGAGTTACTTGATCCATGAGATGTTTCTTGGAGGAACGATCAGCCCCCCCCCCCCCAGGTTAAGAATTTGCAAAACTGTACAACCGTGGTTGTCCCACCGAGGCAACTTTTCAGACTTGTGGACTTCAACTCCCAGAATTCCCCAGCCAGCATGGGGATGGCTAGGGAATTCTGGGAACTGAAGTTCATAAAAAGGTGCCGGGGTTAGACATCTCGGCTCTATAACATCACGACTCCCCCATCTTTACAAATGGAAAAGTAGAGTGCCATGACAAGAAATTCCCTATTTCTCTAAAACAGTGGTTCTCCACCTGTGGGTCGGGACCCCATTTGGGGTCGAACGGCCATTTCCCGGGGGTCGCCAAACAACACAGTCCGCCATTTTTTCCCCCTTTTTCTTAGCTGTGCTACTCCCTTTTATT